ATAATCCCTACTTCTCTAGTCATAAACTAAGAGCTGCTGCCTCAACCATGTGGCAAGGAATAGAGAAAAAAGAAACTGGCCTTACACAAGATAAAAATCACATGGTCTAAATATGAACAAGTGTATTCCATGTCTAAAATTTCTAACTAAAATACAAAAAAAAATAAGGAAAAGATAAAGAAAAAATGTGTCCAAGCATCTAAAAAAAAACTGCTGACTTGACTATAGAGCTAAACCTTAATATGTCAAAACAAAGTAAAGCGGCACATGATCATGTTCACAGAAAAAGGAAAAGGGGAGAAACTTACCAAGTCCACTGCAGGTCGATTCTTAAATACAGCAAGGGCAGATTTGGATGCCAGGTTACATGAGTGTTTACTCTCTGCCAGCTGACCTGCTACTGAAGCTTTAGCTATGCTACATGGACTTAAGTATGAAATAAACACCAGGGGGGGCACACACTGCAACTCCAACTGGGTAAACTAAGGGGTGCCACCCCTATCTTAATACAGGCTGCAAGTACTAATTAAAAAATCACCCAAGTTAAAGTTGCCTCCACTACAGGGGCAGGTAGCTAAAATGCACCGGCTTGTCTCAGAAATGCACCTGTAAATCATAACAACGGGTGCAAATACTTACGCCTGCTTGATTCATGTACCTGAACATTTTTATCATTTGCTTCTACTTTTGTCATGAAATACACGTGAACTTTGGACTTCACTTTGGATCAGCCTTGTCATGGAACATGGTACAATTTTTTGTTTACGATGTCACGGAGTGCACGCCGCAGTCTCACATGCACACATGAGCATACACACACACGCACACACACACACACGCACACATGCGGCCAGTGTCACAATTGTAAGCAAACTGGCCCCTCATGCGTAAATTCAAGCCAAATAGCTTAGACTTCAGTCTCGCTGGTTCCAGTTATAGCCTGAACATGTGGTTTTGAACCATGCTCTAAATAGCTGGAACCAGCAAACCAAAGTCTCAGCCTAATCCACTCATTTCAAAAACGCTTGATTGCAGCAGTTAGTTCCCTTTTACGTCTGTGTGCATATGCACATTTGAAAGGCCCAGTGCCCGACTTTTTGCGTAGCATTGCTAAGTACATGATTGAGGTTCGGGGTGGTTGCGCACTCACTACTACCTAGTTGTGCGTTACATGCAACCCGCCCCCCCAAAAAAACTCGATCAAGGCTTTAATATCTGCCAAAGTCTAAGCCGTAAGTTATCAGTGCCATTAATTTAAACAAAAGCAACGTCAAGGACCAGGGCCTTGCCTTTTTTCTTGAACATACACTATGTCTTTAATATTGTATGGGAGCTACTTGCTCCCATAAAGTGACAAATTCAGCTGTCTAGGGAGCAAGTACTCGCTCTTGGATGATTAGTCCAATTTCGAGCCCTGCCCGAGTATTTTAGCCAGGCCTGTAAAAAGAGCCCAGATTGTGCAGTGTTTCATAAGTTTCTTTTGTTCCCGAAACTGGCGCAGTGCACTGCTGTCGTCTTTTCAATACAGGCCAGATTAGCGTGGAGCGGGGTTGTATTGCTCATCACTGGAGTGCTGGAACTCTTTTTTCCTCGGTGGTAATCCGCTTGCCCTGAATGCCACAAACAGTGGTATAATCTTTCAAAACAATGATGGATTTCCTCCGCTATTGACAACTGCAAAAATGGCCATTCCCAGCAGCTCGGTCGGGCAAGAATACAAACAGTTTCTTTCAGCAATCTTGCTTTATAAATGCTATCCATGATTGCAGCCATTCATTAAAAGTAAAGTAGCATATTTGCAGTCCATGGGGGCAAAAATTACATTTAAAATATTTTGTTAACTCTTTCGTTAACATTAAGGCAACATTCTGTGAATAAATTCGAGAACCTTTCATTTCTGTGTGCGTCTGCACATAAGAAATAAAAGGCTTTCTCCAGAAGTACGCCCTCTGTAATAATAAAGACTTTGTGTGTGTGTGCGCTGTATCGTAACAAGGGACGTTTGTGCCATGGTACTAATGAAATGAGTCCAGGCGGCCATTGTTAAGGTTTCACAGGTCTACAACAGTCTTGGAATTTGGTGATTTTTAGGGCATGGCCACTTTGGCCTTGGAAATAAGCAAAATTATAGAGGGCATCACAGCCAGTTGGGAGGGCACCAAAGCCAGATGAAATCTGTAAAAGGGACATGGGGCTAAATGCCAATGTTCATTCAACAAAAACTTTTGACAATCAGAACATACGTATACATGTACACCACATATACGCATGCATGGATGCCATGTACATGGACGTCATGAGTCAATGTGAATTGTGTACCACACGTAAGGAAGAGAAAGTCAGGTGACTCTGCACATCAAATCTGCTGCACATACTCCAGCTGAAATGTGATTGTACGAATAAAGCCATTTATTTTTACAGTGGGAGTGTCGCTGCTTGAATTATCTGCACATTCTGAACCTGCGCTTTATGTACAGTGTACATGTACTACGGCCAATCAAGGTGGTATGACATCAAAATACACTTTCAGTGGGTTTGCAAGCATCTGAAAACAAGGATTTTCATGTTTTTGATAGGCTTGTGGATGTTTATGGAAAAAGGGCACGACAGCCCATGTAAATGTATATAGGGCAAGGTAAAACTGGCTGTGAGGACAGATATTTTTTGTGGGATGCCTCGTTTAGTGAGAAGGACTGTTGTTCATTTCAAGGTCTGCTACTTTCCTGGACAAAATTATTGGGACACTTGCACTAGCCATATGCTCTCCAGTCCTCCCCCCCCCCCCGTGGTCAATGTTGTCATATCCAACTGAAGCGCAGACCATGCTCATAAACCCAATATTGAAAGCGGGGGTCTGGATGTTGGAGGCCTAATGAGATTTGTCCAGGATTGTAGGTTTGTGAATTCAACTGTTTGCATGTGAGACATAACGGTACATGTATGAGGCACCTGTAGGACCATCTAAAATATACTCACACATTATTGAGTTATTTTGATAGCTTTTCTGTTGAATGTGCATCCTCTAAAGAGGGATTGTGCTGGTGTGTGTGATGAGTTTTGGCATGACACACTGTTTATTGGAAGCTGGCCTATGTGTTACAGCCATATGTTTTGTACTGTGCACGGACCACATGTTAGAAAACCCACTCATGGGTGGCATTGAGTGGATGACTGCATGAAGGGCATTTGACATGTCCTGTTTTGCTTGTCACATGCATCATTATTGCAAACTACAGTAGTGTTTGACTTAGGACTTGTTACAATGGCCAGATAGTGATATGACTCAGATGTCGAAAAAGCAGACTCTTGCAACTTTCTAAACTTTTTCGTTCAGGGTGAAGGAATTTATTATGGGACAGTTTTAAACATAGTTAGTGTATAATTGTCTTTGTAAAAGCTTTACCCCAAATTTTCTGCAACTTTTAAACCTACCCACTTTCGGGAAACAATGAGTTTCTTTGTTAGAAAGTATGTATGTACATGTATATCATTGGATATGGCTGGGCAAAAAGCTTCATAGTCACTGTCTCTCGAGTTTGTATCAATCAAAACCGTGTAGATAGAAATTGTAAAGAAATACTTTAAACTAGAAAATGTTTCAGGTGGATACATAGATGGGTGCTGTCTTTATTTTTCTGAAAACTGAAATGTACAGGTATGTGTCATGGCCTTTTATGAAGTTACTTCCCTTAGTCCTTGGCATTTATGTAATTGTCTTCTTTTTATCTCAGGGAGGCCTTCAGGAGGAGGGGCAAGCTGTATTTGGTCTTTGAATATGTTGAAAGGGTAAGATTTGTTGAGAAGAGAGAAGATGCTTTGTACTAATTGATGGTACACTCTGCAGTTGTTGGGTCCATGCTGTTGTGTACAGCCGAGAGGGCAAATGGCACCCTCGGCTGTATAAGACACCATGGATCTTGTCACAGGAAGCAACAATTGTTGTGTTATAGTTATACTACTGTAAAGGTTACCTCACGCTACATTTGAAGAGCTTGGCGAACTGTGTTTGTGGCACTTTCGCCAGAGAAAAGCTGCAATTTGCATATGTTTGGAATTTTCTGTGCTTGTGTTATGACATTCATGCAATTGTCTTGCGGTGGTCGCACAAAATTTCAGTGGTTTTGGCCAACCTGTTGTCAATTTTGTGTTAGAAATTTGGCAAAAGTCACAAGACATTCGCCCAACCTTCCCATGACGTTTGCATGACGAATTTGAGATGGTTTGGCACCCTGGCAAACTCAGAGATGGTTTGGCACCTGTTGCTTGACACTTGCGAAGGCTTTGTGCACAGACACGATGGACACTCATTTGCAGCATCAAACATCTGGCCTACCTGAACACACATCCAAAAAACAATGCAGAAAGTGGGCATTCTACTGGTAAGTTTGACATTGTTGATATTTACGTAATCAAAGTAAGTTAATTGCTAAATATAAATACTGCTAGGCCTACCTGTAACCGTCAAACAGTAATCATCAGCTGCCAGAGTTCAATGAAGGTGGCCCTCTATAGTCCAATCACACCCAAGCGACGTCATACAGACAGATGCTGCATATGACAATGTACAAAGTAGGCTTAGTGGGAACTCTATAAGCCTAAAGTTTCGGTAAATTACTTTAAGCAATGTCCGTTGTGTAACAGGCAATTAGTCTTCTATAAATTGCGCAATGTCACTTAAGTAGATAAAGACCTAAGATCAGTCTGCAGGTGATGCAGTCAGGCACATATGTGGTTACATGTATGTTCTTGCAGTCTTTTGGATTATTTTAGGTAAGCCTAAAGTTTCGGTAAATTACTTTAAGCAATGTCCGTTGCGTAACAGGCAATTAGTCATGTTTTTAATTTTAACAATGCCAACAAAATCCATTTTTTACTTGTTATGCATTGCTGGTTATTTTGTATTTCAATTGTAGAACGTGCTGAAGCCCCGAGAAGTGGGGTGGTCAGACGTGGCTTCTGTACAGGCCGTACGATCCGACGGCACTCACCAGTGCCTATTTATCTGTGCACAATGACGGTATGTCTACAAGTAAATGAGGTGCAGCCAGGAAATTCAGGGTTCCCGAAGCAACACTTCGTCGCCGTGTCAATGAGTTGGTTGGTTAGATGTTGTCAAGTCCGGGGTGCAACCAGTCCTGGCATTGGACGAGGAGGCACAGATAGCTCAGCATATGTCATACATGCATGCGGGTACAGCTACAGCAGAAGTGAAGTTATTGATTTAGCTTCAACGTTTGCCATAAGCCTACAGAAAAAAGATGAAAATCACCCCTTCAGCAAGGCATGGTTCAGGAATTTCATGGGATGTTGGCCCAAGTTTAAACTCTGAAAACCCAGAAGTACACGAGCCAAGGCGACATCCGCGGTGGTAGAGGGTCTGGTACATTTCCCTATTTGAGGTTTTTTGCAGGAAAGTGTCTTCTGACAGTCTACATGTACCTGGACCAGGAAGATGGGGTGGTCTACCTCTAGATCGATATATAGGCAGGTTTGGTGCGTGGGACTCAAATGTTTCACTCACTGATGCAAATCTGAATACGAAGTGTTTGTCAGTGTCACCTAGTTCTTTGTTCACAAGATAAGAGTTCACAAGGTAGACATCAAGCAGGAAGAACACTTGTACCACTTCCCAACCTACCAGTGAGATGAGGCAAGTTAGTCTGCTGTGTGCATGCCTTTTATCTCCTTGTCGTAGTCTGTTTACGCACTGGAGTTTCCTGATTTAGTTAACATCTCAGTCCTGCTTGCCAGAGTCCTTCATTGCACCTGTGTGCATGATTGACAGCATTTGGACATTTTTTGTCCTCACAGACTAAGACCAGTAGGCCTTTGTCGGACAACTGATGTTTAGTTTTAAGTCACAAAAGTCCTTAAATGGGTATTCAATTTTTTCTTAGGCCTGAATGAATATTGATTTTCATGCAATATCAATAAACGTCTGATAGAAAGTAAACTTTCCACAAAATATCAGGATGGCATTATGCCCAGAACTTTGGTACACTGCTGGCATTAATGCCTTCACGTTTGGCATAAGCGCTCTTTATTTCAGCTAGTCCACCAATGCCAAATGGCAGTGCCCTAAAGAAAATGAAATTCTAGGCCTGGGACAGATTCCGCCCCCCCCCCGGCTCTTAGGGTTGAATACATTCAATGCGTACATGTGAATGTATATACAAATGGCTTCATCTTGTTTGTCTAGCTGCGTGTCCAGTTACTGAAAAATACTCACTGATATCAGACAAAAGATTCTGTGTTTGATATGTGATTGAGAGTGAGTCTATCACACTATTGACTATTAAGAAGAAACTTCAGACTGTAAACCTGGGGTATGAATAATTTTGACCAAAAGCAAAAATGGAACTTGGGCCGTATCTATCATGCAAACGAAGTTCAGCCAACACACATTTGGGTTTGTGTATTGCAACAAATGCACAAAAGATATAGTGAAAGTACCAACATAATACCTTTTACAAGAATTTAGAAAAGTATGTTATTTTCTAAAGGGTGTGAATAAATTTGAGCACAACTGTAAGTTTGAGAGAATGGATGAGGACTGTAGATTTGTGCAAAGGATAAACGAGGCTTCGCCTTGCCCATGCTTTGCATAAATCTACAGTTCTGACTTAAACTATTTCCCGTTGTTGCACGAACATGGAGTCCTAGGTCTATGACACTCTCTCTGTTACCCCTTTGCCAGAGTGCACACCTTTGTTCCATTCATTAAAGTGTACAGGTTTTGGCTTCGTGAAGCACTGACAGTATTCATGTAGTCAACACCATCAATGCTGGTTATGTACATGTACTCTCTTCTCTTCCTCTTGCACCTTAGAGCCATTATTATACGTGTGCCATTGTAACAAACCCTATCAGACTAAAACTGCCACAGGACTCTACGAAATTGAGCTTTGTTATATCAACTTCATGAGGGTATTTGTGCAGTTAACACCCAGTGCTGGATGTATACATGTATACATGTATTCTCTTCTCTTCTCTTGATCTTTGAATTCATTACGTATGCCAATGTAGTAAAACCCTCTGGACTAAAACCATTACAGGACTCAATGAAATTGAAGAATTTTATATCTACTTCATGAAAGTATTTTAGCACTTTTGAACCACTTTACAAACCACTCAAAATGAGGTCCACTGATCCTTACATGTTCTTATGTATGAATTATTCCATATGCCCACTTACTACGTACTGCTATTTCATTTGGAGAATGAACAACCTAAGATTCAAATTATGATGCAAATTTTGGAGTTCAATGATAACAATAAAGACGTTTTTATAAAGCACACAGATCCACCTAAAATTGCTTGTAGCACTACAGAAATTAACAACACAAAAAAATTAACAGGCTAACTCTTTAAGCAAGATTATACAAGTTCATGTATGTTTGAAAACTGTTTTAAATGAAATGTGCGTGTGCGTGCTGGACCACACACTCAGGGAGCAGTAATCCTGACAGTTCTGTCAACTTGGGACTGGTATGATCTTAGTACAACTAGATATACACGTACCAGAGTTTGTGTCAATTCAATTAAACTATAATCCAACATATAAGAAAGACTGAGCAAAACATCAAATTTATTCCTTATTGAAAGGTAAATAGAAAATTCAAATCTTTGTTGAAAACCTTGCTTTATAAAACATTGATCCTGGAAAAAAGAGAGATAATTATGCACCATTTTCAATGGAGAAAGGCAAACATACACACTAAGGCTCGAGTGTGGGCATTCCTGGTATCCCTTATGAATAATTTGTCCACTGTGCCTGTTGCAAGGCCCAGCAGAATCAGCATCACAGCGCCAAACCAGTATACTCTACCCCAACCCTCCGGTCATAACTGCTTTGACCAAAATGGGGGGGGGGACACGACGGTAATCTCCTCATTGTTACAAAACTATGATAAATATAGATTTGTTACGAATCCATGGTAACTGTAGATTCGTAAAAATAATGTACACTTTGAACAAAGAAGTGATGTCACAGAAATAGTTTAAGCTAACAAATTTTGTCTATTTTGTATTGATTAGAACATGCTGGAGCTGTTGGAAGAGATGCCAAATGGTGTGCCTCCTCAAAAAGTCAGGTATTGAAACTTGTGTTTATTTCACAGAAGTAGTATGGAGCACAATGTTGTTCTTATTATAATATTTTTCTGTGATTCTTTAGTGTACTTACACAAACCTATTTGAGTTTAAGAATATGGTCCCGACTACACTATTTCCTTCTTGTCTTTCTTGTCGCCTTGTCTTCCTTCTATTTCTTAACTTTCTTATCTTTCTTAAAAATACATAAAAATTGTCTTCCACCGGGCAAGATATAAAACATTAAATCACATAAAAACACTCATATATTGGAAAGAAGAAAAGTTATACAGGTCAAATAAACAGATGTACATGTATCATACTTGAGAATATTTTATACATTAAATGTTAAAATATGATACATAATAAAACAAAACCACCAAAAGTTATTGTTTGACCAGGGAATTGTACATATGAATTTGTTAGGAATGAATGCTTGCCTGAAGCAGGAGAGGTTTGTTTTTCTTGGCACACGAACACCAGAGCAATTAAATCTTTAACAGTGAAAAAGGATGTGTAGGGTCACATAATATTGCACTCACTTTATCTAAAACAAGAGTCGCAAAACACTTCCCAAAACTCTATGGAATGAACATGTATGTCATGAACTACACACTAAGCTTGTTCCTGTCCCTTTTGTATGTCCTCATGTTCTGCTGAGATGATGATCCAAAGGTGCAAATCAGATTGAAGGTTAAAATATACTTTGTATGACAGACTGATAAAAGAAGTATAAAATATTACTGTCAACCTTAAATTGCTTCAGTTTTCTCAGAAAGTACAAATACTAGCTTGCTTTACCACATGCATTTTGTGAATTTTTGTTCCAATTCAGCTTGTTGTCAACTGTTGTACCAATATACCTATACTCATTAACTTGTTCAATGCCTTGGTCATGAATGAACACAGGAGTATGAGCTTCTGTTCCACGACATCAGTCCACAATCATTTCTTTTGTTTTTTTCACATTTATAAATTCCACCTCAGCCGTGTAGGATGCACACTCATTGGTCAAGTATCCCAGTTATAACTTTATCATCAGCAAACCTGATAATGCTGCATACTGAACTGGAACACAAACAATCACTAGTATGCATTGAAAACAACACAGGAGATATGACGCACCCCTGTGGTGCCCCAGTGTTAACAGTTCTAACTTCAGAACAAGAACTGCCCACTTTTACCCACAGGGGCATTTCCCTAAGGAACTGATGAACCCATTGGACAACTTTGTGAGAGATGCTCATCTGAAGCAATTTCTGAACCAAAATATGCAGTTGTATTGTGTTGAATGCACTGAAAAAAAAATCGATGATCAAAGTCCTATACACACAATGATGAATCCATTAGTAGT